AACTCAACACACTATTTATATTGCTAACAGTAGTAGATATCGGTTATAATTATTTGATACTAATGCAGGCGTCTGCATCAGCGTCTACATATTGTAAAATAAAATTGGTTCTTGTTGCATGTTATCCTATGCCTCCTTCTTCCCTTCTCCTGGTTGCGATGTGACGATGACTAGGCTGCAATAAGACGCCACAAGCAAGTCACATCTAAAAATAGAGGAGGAAATCAACCGTGCAAAGTTGTTTGCCAGTTGGGAAATAACGATTAAATGTCTATAAAAAGCATTCGTTTGCAGACCTCACAAGAGCCTCGAAGAGCAAGTTTGATAGTTCAAGTATTAAGGATGGAAGGCCACTTTTTCACTTTAGAATGGTTGGCATAAGAGACAAGCGATGCCTCAGGTCTATCCTCTTCATCAGAGCCAAATTGCAGTCAAACACTTCCCAGTTAGTCTGGAATGCATCACTTTGTCATCATGTCGCCCTGACGCTTGTCAGCTATCTTTTATTGTGTATATGTCTATCGTTTTAGTCGCCTGGCAAGCACACATTAGCACAAAATTCTGCTCCCCTATACCAAATTGACATCCTGCTGGCCAATTATGGCGAATCCTGGTAGTATCTGTCGCATTCCCTCTTTTCAAAACTTGCCCATCTGGCCAGTTCTCCGGAGGAGGTGGGCAGATCGTCTGCTCGACAGACGAAAAAAATCCACTATAAATGGCCAATTTACCAGCCTCTGAGACTAATGCCAGAGCCCCACTTGTCCGTAGAACCCACATCCAAGGTGGTGCCTCTACAGTAGTCCATGTCTCGGTCGTATATACAACCTCTCTTCTCTCCACGAGGCCCCTTTCACATCTGATGTTTTTCTCTTCAGTCAAGCGTTCCGTCGGACTAGACTCGAGTCATAACTCTCAATCCATTTGTCCCTTTTCACGCCCTGTAGACCTTCGTTCAAGGATGTCACTTCACAGGGAAACAAGCAAAAGACACCGCTTCTATTCCCCCACACCCCAGCCCCAACCCCAGCCTCTGAGGGGAGATGCAACACGAAATGTCTTGCTCGCGTTCAAGGCCTTCCAGAGCTATTCATGGCTTTTATTATTGCTTTCTCAGTTTTGCCTAAATTACCCTTCACCTCAACCAAGGCACATTCTCGTGGCAGCCGGGAATGTTCTTTTCCTAGCCTTTCGGACCCATTTTAAGTCGACTCCTCTGCACCTGTCCTCTTTTCTTTGCCAATACATGTAGAGCAACCTACTCTCCTCCACAGGACAACCATCATAAGAGCCTTATCGTGATCTTATCAGTTTCTGCCTAATGCACTGAAGAAAGAAACACAGAAACCTGCTTCAGACTAAGGCGATATAAAGGATGGATTAAAAGACAAAAGAATGGATAAAGATGGGGTATTTTCCCACCTCTGCCTTCTTCATTGCCTCATCTTTGCCTGCCCTCTATCCTTTCTACCTTCCCCTTTGGCCCAGTTCTACTGATTTCTTCTCCGTGTCTGCCTACCTTGACTGGATGGACTAGCATCGGGAAGTGTGTTATGACGCCGGGGCGGCGCAGTGAGACCAACAAAGAGGGTTGTCGTGACAGCAAATAGCTCAACAAAGCATCAAGTCTGTAGAATCCTCAGAGGCCCGACTCGTTTTCCAACATGGCGTTAACACAAAACGATAAAAAGTCTCATCAGCCTGTTTCTCTCTTTTTCTCTTCCTTCCTATCTCCATTTCTCTCTGTTTATCTCATTCTCTTTATTTCTTTATCTCACTCTTCCTCTCTTTCTCTCTTGCTCTCTCTTGTAAATTGGCGTATTTTTGCTCTTTTTATGCTTACTTGAATTAGAAGCAGGGAATCACAGGGCATTATCTAAAGAACTACTTACATCAAAAATAAATAGCATCGTCGAACGCACTGGCAAATATATATTTGTTTAATTAACAATCCCAATAGAAAGATGTGATTCGGGTCAAATCTGGCTTGCATTATATGTCATGACAGTCACGTACCGGTATCGAATCCACTCAGGGCTGATTGTGAGATCAAAACTGTAGTCCACTCTGCAAGAAAAATAATCTGGGGGGCAAAGCTAAGGGAAATTTAATGGCATCAGGAGGTCTACCCATTTCATTTTGAGAAAAACTCAGCTATCAGTCCTTAAATCACCCTGCGCAATCTAAGCCGACTGAGCATCCTCCTTGTTATCCACGCGATTTGAAGGATATACTCGTTATATCTGTATTCTGGTCTAAAGAGTACATACACAAGCTCACCAGCAAATAAGTGGAAATATGCCTTTATTTGAACGGCCGCCTTGGAGATACGAGCGGGATTCGAGCTCAGGACAATCTAGCCAAGAGGCGGCCTAGTCAGGAAAGCTTCTTTCCACAAACAGGCTTTGGGCTATTATTGAGTGATTGTGCTAATCGTCTGACCAAAACGAGCACAACTTGATTGCTTGTCACGACGAGCTTCAGAGTTTCAAGCAACAAAATCGCATAGATAAGGTAGGAAGAAGATTCGGCTTCACTAACAAAATTTTCTCCGTGGGGTAGCATTAAAGGGTATACTTTCTGAACTGCAAGTTTGGCAGTGTATATACAAAGAAAGGTTGTTTTTCAAATAATCTCTTTAGTCAAAACTTTTGAGCTCATTAATAGTTGAAGTGAAAATGTGAAATGCATATTCGATGTAAGGTGGATCTGCCGGAACATTCTGGTCGATGAAGTCGCCCAGACGTCACTCTCTTTAGACTTGGGCTTTCGATGTAACTTCTATGTTACGCCACTTGACAGAAATCCTTAGAGCTGGACTCCATTCGCACAAAAATCCACAGGCTGGCGCTAGGTCACGAAAGGTAACTGTGTCTTGGAAGTGATATAAGGATTTGGTTTGTCCATTTCTACATTTATCCAAGCGGGTAATAAAGAAAATCGACAATTCTGAGTAGCTATAAAAGAGCGTAACATCCATTCTAGCCAATCAGAGTTTAATTACCCTTTTTTGTTAAATTTATTCCAGGTCAACTATAAACAACTATTGCATAATAATGGGCACACTTCTTGTTGTGTTATAAATGTTTTTTTAATGAAATACAGTGAGGAAAGTGAAAATTGAACTAAAACTTCTGACCTCCATACAAAACAG